ATTTCCTATGGTTTCTAGCAATAATTTGGGTTTGGAAATTAATGTCAAGTGATCCATATAATTTTATTTAATTAGAGATTAGCCTCAACACCCTTAATTATTTCAATTATATATTGAGAGTCTTTGGATGACAGAAATGGTGTGACATTAGTTGTAATTCATTATACAGATATAATAAAAATTCTTGTATGATTTGTTGTGGCAAAATTTGTTGGATTGACAAATGCAATATAAATTTTGGAAACACATGTTGTGAAGTGTTTCATGCTGTTAGAAACACATGTAATGAAGTGTTTTATGTTGTTGGAAACACATGTTGTGAAGTGTTTCATATTGTTAGAAACACATGTAATGAAGTGTTTCATGTTATTGAAAACACATGTTGTGAAGTGTTTCATGTTGTTGAAAACACATGTTGGGAAGTGTTTCATGTTGTTGAAAACACATGTTGTGAAGTGTTTTATGTTGTTGAAAATACATGTTGTTAAGTGTTTCATGTTGTTGGACATTATTATTGATATATTATTTGAATTATTATATGTTAATTACCTGCCCAAATGGGGGTTGTTACATATAATAATTTGGGAAATTGCATGAAGAAATTATTCATTAGATTACGTGATTTAAAAGTATTTATCTGCTCAAAGGGGGTAAACTATTTTTAAATTGCATGTGGTATTATAAAGAAATATGTATAATTTAAAATTTTGTCTGCCCAAAGGGGATGAATTTTTATAATTGTATGTAATTCTCCTTGTTGTTCAAATCTTCATGTGATAGAAAATATTTGTATATTATATTCCCTGCCCAAATGGGGGTTTATAGTATATAAATTATTTTGTTGTTGCCCAAATTTAATCTTATTGCATTGTGTATGTCAATCAGTTATTTTTTCCCATTAACATGTTATTGTTGAGTTATTTTCTATATCAAATTATAGGAAATGGAGATGTATAATTTATAGAATATTTTTATTTATTGAGTTATATGCTTCCGCTTGAACTGTTTAATTAAGTGTAAAACTTTTTGAAGAATGCTATTGTTTTTGAACTCATGATCAGTGAAGGTGTTAAACTTTCTTTTGGAATACATCATGATTTTGGGCAAGATTTGTAAGAGTTTCTACGAATTACTATGGTATTACCACTAAAGTGGGATTGATTTATTTGTCATGTAAATTTGATAAATGTTTCTGGTTATTTCATGCAATCTCTTGCCCAAAAAAGGTTATTGTGTGTTTTAATTAGAAGCTTGTCTGTAATAAAGTTATTGGAGGTGCATTTGTCTAGGTGATCTGTCTGCACAAAGGGGACAGATCTCTGAAGCTAGTGTATATTCATTGATTGATTCATCTGAGGCTTTAACCTTGGGTTAAACCTTGGTATGTGCATTTTGCCTAAAGGAAAATGTACTATTTTGTTAGCCTCATTGTAATAATGTTGTGAAATCGGCAAGTATACCATTTGTTTTAAGTAATAAAGTGATAAGTAGAGTATCGTTTCCACGAGGATTAATGCACAAAGTACTAGTTTAGCTATTCCCCTTAAGTTGAAAAATAAAATTGGTTTGAATTGTGAAGATAGTTGATTTTAGAATTTAAAAACAGAATTTAAAATAAAATAATATTTAAAAACAAAATTTAAAACAATTAATTTTGAACGTATGCAAGAAAAGATCAAGAACACAAGAAAGTATTGATGAAAAATTTATAAAGAGAATGTAGTCCGGATACACTTCACCTCCGATCCTCCCTTATGTTCCTATATTGTATTTTATAATTTAATTAATTCGTTTGTTCAAACAATTCATTATTTCCCTATAAAATAGTTGAACCCTACTGTCTTAGTGATTTCAACCATTTAACCCAATCAGAACTCTAATGTCTTAGTAATCCCTCTTGAATTAAGCATTAAGCAAATGAATTACGAGTTTGCAATTTATGTAAGCCTATGTCTAGATCATACACAAATTGTTATTCTACCCTTGTCCAGACCAAAACCCCAATATGTCTATTGTGAGTCATAACCCTCAAAGCCCTATAATTTAAAGTGATCAGTTCTAAACAGGATATGAAAAATTAAACCAGGTAGAATAAAACAAACTAACTAATTAACTTATAAAATATCAATACAGAAATTATAAAGGATTCACATTCGGTTCGTGATCCCAACTACAAAAACAAACTAGCCAGACATAGCTTACTTAAACAAATTAAAGAAATAAAAAGTATTCATGAAAACAATAAAGAAAAAGAAGAAGAAGATGGAATCCTGATCTCCAGCGTGAGCCTCCAAGAATTCTCTTCAGCCAAAGATTCTTGTTTCCTGGGGTCTGAGTCTCTATTTATAGAGTTTGTATCCTTGCTTAGAAATCTTGATTAAATCTTCATCGTAAATCTTGGTCCAATCTTGCTCCGATTCAGCCTCAGATTTGTTTAACAATTTCTCACGTAACTCCAGCACTACTAGCGTGAGTTCCACGCTAATAGCGTGGGAGTTTTATTCAGCCTACTGCAAGCTGGCGCTACTAGCGTGAGTTCAACGCTAGTAGCGTAGGAGTTTTGAAAGGCTGGCGCTACTAGCGCCAGTTCCACGCTAGTAGTGTGGGTGTCTCGGGATGAATTTTAATTCTGGCGCTACTAGTGTGAGTTTCACGCTAGTAGCGTGGGTGTTTCGGGATGAATTTTAATTCTGGCGCTACTAGCGTGAGTTTCACGCTAGTAGCGTGGGGCTTCATCTTGGAAACTTCCTCTTGGGCTTCTTTTTGTCCTGTTTCCTGCAAAATCAGAAGGAAATCAGTTGCGTGATCTCTAATTGAGATTTTATCAAATAATCAGTAATTTTATCCCTTATTATCCAAGATTGATCAATATTCTTTATATTTTTGGCTTAGAATCATATATATGCTGGAGGCATATCAAACAATTCTCAGTTTTGAACGTTGTTGTCCTCAGCAATGTAATAGATTAAAGTTAGAAGCAAAGATTAACTCTGTGAAGAAAAACATGGAACATGAACATCTTAAGAAATCAGACTAATATGCATGTATAACTCCCTGTTAAAAACTTCAAACAATGCTTTTCAGTTGTATCAAGAATTCAGATCATAACTTGAATATTCCTTACTAGATAAATACATACTCTCATCACTCTAGTGTTTGAGGGGTTTACACTCATTCCATCAGTGTAGTAGAAATTCCATAAGCTTGAACATATACTCAAATTCCTAAGATTGAGGAACCCATTTGACATGCATAGACTGATCAAAAGGTCTTTTGATAGGTTATAACTTGGTCTGGTTTAGGGGTAAGAATCTTTTGGTCAGAGGCTGATTAAGTTGAGAGACTAAAATCCTGAGAGTTTTGACATTACTTCATTCTCAGTCTTTTAATTCTGCCACATTTCATCAATTTGGAATTCTTTTCCCTTTTTCACTACCTTTTTCTTTTCCTTATTTGCAGATGTTTTCTTTCTTTTCTCTTTTGAGCTGCAAATTTCTTCTTTTTCTTTTTCAGTATTTTTTTTCTCTTTGCAGTATTTTTGCAGACCATTCTTTTGTTTCCTTTTTCAACTTACTTAACTCTTCTTTTGAGAAGTACCTTGACTTTTTCCTTTGTTCAACATTTCAATCTCTTTCAAGGTGTGTCAATGGAGAAATGGTTAAGTAATTTTCATCAGGTTTTTGAATAAATTGGTCTAAGGCTCAAAAGGGCTAACAATGGAAAATTCTTTTAGGTAGGCTGCTTGGCTCTAAGTTAACAAGAATAAACATGCCTTTATCATGTCAGTAATGCATGCAAGCTAGAGAAACAGCTCAAGTTAAAGAAAACTACTACAGTGAGGCCTCTCTGAAAAAAAATATTTCTGTTTAGGCTTAAATCCTCACAGTTGTGATTCAAATTAGAATCTAATTTCAAAATTTTACATCAAGCATTATCTAAGAGTTTTAATTAAAACAGTTATACAAACGAGCAGTCATCATTCTCAGATTATAAAAAACAATTGAATGCTCCACAGATATCATGCTTCTTATAATTCAATCTAATTATTTCCTGAGTAAGCTCTGCAAAATCTAAGAACGCTTGTTCAGGAATTCACTATTTTTGTATTTTTTTAATTTTTCTAAAAAAAAATTGAAAATTTGAATGAAATGCATTAAATTAAAACAGCAAATAAAAAAAAAATTGAAGGTTAAAAATATCTCCCCTTTTTACGAAAAATTTCTATTATACGTCCTTTATGTTGTGTAGTTCCGCAGTTAGCAGGTCTCGCTTATAGCAGCATGCGGCCAATTCCCAGATTTAGAACGTTGTTGTCCTCAGCAACAAACTAGACTAGTCGAGTGAAGCTACTTCTGCACAAATGGAACACTCACACACTTGTTAAACATCAAACAGAATAATCATAAAAGTGAAATATATTAAAAGGGAGACATAATCAAACCATAATCTAAGAAATTACTAAAGTCAAGGTAAATGGTGAGAATACTGGCGCTGAAAGCGTGGAGTTCGGGCTTTGAGCGCGGATCTCATTGAAACTTTAGGACCTGTGGCGCTGAGAGCGTGGATCTCACGCTGTTAGCGCAATTCTTTCGTGGGTTTCTGGCACTGTAAGCGCCACCTTGGCGCTGTCGGCGCAGATCTCGCTGTATCTTTTGGGCTTGTGGCGCTACGAGTGCCAAGTTGGCGCTGATAGCGCCAATTCCCATATTTAAAATTTTTCCAGATGGTCCCTAATTCACCACTTACTTGACTTGTTAAAAATAAACTAGCTAAGCAAATAAATAAAATAAAAACAGAAAACTACTATTGGGTTGCCTTCCAATTAGCGCTTGTTTAACGTCACGAGCCTGACGTACCCCCTGTGATTACGGTGGTTGAAAGCATGCTAGCATTGACGACCCAGTCTTCTTGATCCAGTATTGTGTCTTTCCAGGATCATATGCACGTGGGTGAGGAGGAGGTTTCTCGGAAACTTTAAGCTTAGGTTTCAATTGTTCTTCCTAGCTCTTGGGCTTTTCCATCTTAACCTTTGGCTTGCTTTCCTCATGCCGCTGATGGACTTCTTTCTTGTTCCTTTCCTCAACCTTTTTCTCGGTAATGTAGTTGACTTGGTTTTTAGGTTGAGATGCAGGCAATAGAGCTTCATTTGTAAGTACCTTGAATGTTGCTTGCTCTCCATCCACGCGCATTATTAACTCTCCCTTAGGTACATCGATTAGCACTCCTGAGGTTGCTAGGAATGGCCTCCTGAAGATCGTAGGCAGACTGGCATCTTCATCAATGTCAAGAATAACAAAATCAACAGGAATTAGAAATTTGTTTCCCTTGACGAGCACATCTTCCACAATACCATGTGCTTGCTTTGTTGAGCGGTTGGCCAGTTGAACATTCATCTTTGTTGGCTTGACTTCATCAATTCCCAGATTCTTCATCAGTGTGAGGGGCATCACATTTATGCTGGCACCAAGATCGCATAAGAATTTCTCTATAGTCGTCTTGCCGATGGTGCATGGAATACTGAAGCTCCCAGGATCTTTCAACTTTGGAGGCAAGTTTTTCTGTAAGATTGCACTGCACTCCTCTGTTAGCGTGAACGGTTCATCCTTTGTGAGCTTCCGCTTCTTAGATAATGTCTCCTTCAGGAACTTTGCATACGAAGGCATTTTCTCTAGAGTTTCTGCAAAAGGAATGTTAACTTGTAATTTCTTAAAAATATCTAAAAATTTAGACATTTGCTTCCTTTGCTCATGTTGTTTGCTACCTATGGGATATGGAGGTTTCTCAAAACGTGAGAAATCTCATTGCTTCTTTTGAACTACAGGAGGTTTCTCCTTTGCTTCTTCCTTGCCTTCTTGAGTGTGCTAGTTCTTGCCTGTAGGAGCTTCCACTTTTTCCAGATCCTCGCTTTTAGTAATGATGGCATTGCAGTGCTCCCTTGGGTTGATTATAGTGTCACTAGGGAATGTTCCAGGAGCTCTTTCATTCAATTGCTTGGCCAACTGTACAATCTGAGTCTCAAGATTTCGGATTGAAGCCTTGTGATTCTTGAAATTTGATCGTGTCTCTTGAATGAAAGCATTGGTAGTTGAAGCTAGGGTCTCCACCAGTTTCTCCAATTCGGATGGCTCATTAAGTGGAATAGGAGGAGGTTGTAAATAATTTTTGGATTTGTAATCCAAACCTCCCCCTTGAATTCTACTTTGGAAGTTGTTTCCTGGAGCATTGTTCTGGTTTCTCTGGAAATTTTGCTGTGGTCTTGGTTCATACCAGATTCCATTCACTTGTAAAGCATCTGTTCCTACCAATGTTGGGCAAAGGTTAGTATCATGCTCACATTGGCAATACTCACAGTTGACCAAGTCAACTTGAGCTGTAGAGAGTTGCAACTTGTCCAACTTTGCATTCAAACTAGCTATCTGTTGAGATAGGAGCTTTTGTTCTGCAAGTGATGCATCATTGTTTCCCAACTGCAGGAGTCCCCTTCTTGGTTGAACTGGTTGAACCGTTATTGATGCGTTATCAGCCCTTGCCATGAAGTCGATCAGCTCTAAAGTTTCAGCTGCTGTCTTCTTTGCTATGGTCCCACCGGTTGCACCATTGATGATCATTCTGGAGTCTGGTGTCATTCCATTGTAGGAGATTTTGACCTTTTTTCCGTCTGGCAGATCATATGCGGGGCACGTTCTAATCAGTTCTTGGAATCTGGTCCAAGCTGCACATAGAGTTTCTCCTGGTTGTTGAGTGAAGTTGGTGATTTCCACCCACTTGTTGTATTTCTCCCTGGAGAAGTGCTCAGCAAAGAATTTAGCCGCCAATTCATCCCATGTTCTGATGTTGTTGGGGGCTTGTCTTCCAATCATCTGAGAGCTTTCCCTGTTACAGCAAAAGGGAACAGTCAGAGTCTTATTGCATCATCCGACACCCCGTTATGTTTGGTGGTGTCACAGATTCTCAGAAATTTGTCCGTGAAATCATGGGGGTCTTCATAATCTTCTCCGTCAAATGGGTTTTTCTCCACCACAGTTATCAGTGCTGGTTGGATATCAAAATTATTGGCGTTGATTGGTGGTCTGATTATGCTAGAATTTGGCCTCGTGAACTGTGGAGCCAAGATTGACTCCATCAATTCCTCCTCCGGTGGTGGTTATTTATTAGCTGCCATCTCGGGTTCGGCTTTCGGCTCTGAACTCGAGGATTCCTCTATCTTCCTTAGATTGGTTAGCTTCCGGTTCTTCTTTGCAGTCTTCTCGATTTTTGGATCAAACTGTAAAGGTTCTTTGTTAGCTTTACCTCGCATAAAAGAGAGAAATCAATTAGTAACAAAAAAAATTCCAATCTCAAAGATCGAAAGTTAAGACTAATATTGGCGTAATTAATTCCCGACAATGGCGCCGAAAACTTGTTGCGAAATTGGCAAGTATACCGTTTGTTTCAAGTAATAAAGTGATAAGTAGAGTATCGTTCCCACGAGGATTAATGCACCAAGTACTAGTTTAACTATTCCCCTCAAGTTGGAAAATAAAATTGGTTTGAGTTGTGAAGATAGTTGATTTTAGAATTTAAAAACAGAATTTAAAATAAAATAATATTTAAAAATAGAATTTAAAAATAATTAATTTTGAACGTATGCAAGAAAAGATCAAGAACGCGAGAAAGTATTGATGAAAAATTTATAAAGAGAATGTAGTCCAGATACACTTCACCTCTGATCCTCCCTTATGTTCCTATATTGTATTTTATAATTTAATTAATTTGTTTGTTCAAACAATTCATTATTTCCCTATAAAATAGTTGAACCCTACTGTCTTAGTGATTTTAACCCTTTAACCTAATCAGAATTCTAATGTCTTAGTAATCCCTCTTGAATTAAGCATTAAGCAAATGAATTATCAGTTTGCAATTTATGTAAGCCTATGTCTAGATCATACACAAATTGTTATTCTACCCTTATCCAGACTAAAATCCCAATATGTCTATTGTGAGTCCTAACCCTCAAAGCCCTAGAATTTAGAGTGATCAGTTCTAAACAGGATATGAAAAATTAAACCAGGTAGAATAAAACAAACTAGCTAATTAACTTATAAAATATCAATACAGAAATTATAAAAGATTCAAATTGGGTCCGTGATCCCAACTACAAAAACAAACTAGCCAGACATAGCTGGCTTAAACAAATAAAAGAAATAAAAAATATTCATGAAAACAATAAAGAAAAAGAAGAAGAAGATGGAATCCTGATCTCCAGCATGAGCCTCCAAGAATTCTCTCTAGCCAAAGATTTCTGTTTCCTGGGGTCCGAGTCTCTATTTATAGAGTTTGTATCCTTGCTTAGAAATCTTGATTAAATCATCATTGTAAATCTTGGTCCAATCTTGCTCTGATTCATCCTTAGATTTGTTTAAAAATTTCTCACGTAACTCCTACGCTACTAGGGTTGGAGTTTTATTCAGCCTACTGCAAGCTGGCGCTACTAGCGTGAGTTCCACGCTAGTAGTGTGGGAGTTTTGAAAGGCTGGCGCTAGTAGCGTGGGTGTCTCAGGATGAATTTTAATTCTGGCGCAACTAGCGTGAGTTTCACGCTAGTAGCATGGGTGTCTCGAGATGAATTTTAATTCTGGCGCTACTAGCGTGACTTCACGCTAGTAGCGTTGGGCTTCAGCTTGGAAACTTCCACTTGGGCTTCTTTTTGTCCTATTTTCCTGCAAATCAAAAGGAAATCAGTTGCGTGATCTCTGATTGAGATTTTATCAAATAATCAGTAATTCTAGCCCTTATTATCCAAGATTGATCAATATTCTTTATATTTTTGGGTTAAAATCATATATATGCTATAGGCATATCAAATAACTTGCCTTAATTGAAGTTGTATTTTGCCCTATAGTTTATTTGGATGCATTTGCTTTGCCTTAACAGCGAATTTTTGTTAATTCCATTGAATTAATTTAAATATATTTTACAAGTGCATTTACATGAAAGTAAGTGGGAGTAGATGTATGTTCTTAGTACTTTATGTAAATGACATTTTATTTTTCAGTAAGATGATGATTTACTAACGAAATAAAAGTTCTTTTTTTATCTTAAAAGCTTTTATAAGAAATACCTTGAAGTAGCCTCCTTTTTATATATGAGTACTTTAAATTCTTTTGATTCCCTTAATTAGTGGGAGTTGTACTCGAGGCTTTCTTTTGAATATTTTAAATTCTTTTGATTCCTTTAATTAGTGGGAATTATATTCAGTTTGCCTTTTTAGTCATGCAAATTGATGATGATTTTTGTGACTTTTGTTTGAATTTTATTGATCATCATCATTATTTTTATTTCTCCTGTCGACTGAGAAATATATGTATGAATGGTATCTTTAAGCATGTTGTTAACTTAAAGATGATTGGATGTCACAAGTTTTGAGATCTCATATTGTACTGTGACATGTTGATTTATTTAAACTAAGCAATTTCATGTTGTTTGTAAATTGCATTAATTCAATTTCATGTTGTTAAGAAATTGGATCGAAAAGGCAATTTCATGTTGTTGAGAAATTGCATTACAGAGTGTAATTTCATGTTGCTTGGAAATTGCACTAATGTAATTTCATATTGTTGAGAAATTACATTGAGGACCGATAAAAATTAGTGTGTTAAATTGTTGATCACATTTTGACACTAATTCTTACTACACTACTAGGCCTTGATTCATAAAGATGTGATACTCATTGTATGTGAGTATGGAAGGTCATTTGCTATGATATTTTCGGTATATTGATCGTCATGTTCCTATGATGGGGTTATGTTTGATTGAATTGTGTTGAGATGCTGATATTTGAATTGGAATATTATTTTTCAAAATCGTGCCCATGTAAAATGATTTTTTAGTTATTAACCCGATAGAGTCATTTTCAAAATAAAATGATTTTTAAAATAATATTAAATTAATTAATATAGCCCAACAGTGTTAAGAAACCTGGACCGACCCGGCCGGGTCAACCCGGGAACCGGTAAACCGGTCATATAACCGGTCTGGTTGAAGCAATGGACCGGTCATGCATCAGAACTGATGCGACCCGGTGCGACCCGACCGATTTTAATGAAAACCGGTGACCCGGTCAGTTAAACGGTGACCCGGCCTGGTCCCAAAAAAAAATTTCAAATTTTCTTTTTCAAAAAAAAATCATAACGGACATATTTGAATATTTTTTTGCTTATTGTGACTTACATAAGTTATGTACTTACAACACTAATATTATCTCAATTATGAACTATGCAGAAATTTTTAATTTGTTTTATAGTTAGAGATGTCATTTTCTGAACCTAAAGTCCCGTATCACGATCATTATATTTTTGTTTGTTCTTTTATTGAATAATAATATGTGATTTATTATTTTTTACATTAAAATATTTGTAATTTTTATCATTTTTTTAGAAATTTGAGTATGTTTATAATTTTTTAATATAAATTATAAAATTGCATATAATTACCGGGTCATGCAGTTGACCCAGTGACCAACTGGTTGAACCAGTGACCCAATAATCCAGTACCTCGATCGGGCCGATTTTAATAACATTGTAGCCCAAGTGGCAGAATGTTAGAAATTTTTCTTTATATGGCCAATATTAATTAATTAGTTTTCTGTTTTAAAATTAATCGGGTTAATGAATATTCCAATTGCATTATTTTGATAAGGTCGTTGTGATCATGTTGAGTTGGGCTTTTGCCATCTATTGGTATTGTGCCTAATTGGGCGATAGTGTAGGCTTTAGTGTGACCCTAGTTTTTCGTGATGGGTAGACCCAGTAGACACAAACTCTTTTTAGGGTATTTGGTTAGGTCTCCTCTCTAGCCTATTTATATTGAGATTAAGTCCCATCCATGAGCCATCATGCTCCCATCGCAGAAGACTGCCATTTTGAAATAGGTCATAGAGATGAAGACTCTAGCCGTGAGATCAAGGTTCTTCGCTCAGTAGATAAGATAGTCCAATCAGGTACACAAATTCCTCTCAAAATAAAAATTGTTATTAGGTGATTTATCTATCATACATGTATCGATCTTCATATTAAATTATTATATGAAAAATTCTTACAAAGTTTTACTTAATTTTTATTGATATTTATATATACGATACTTCTAAATTAAAATGATTGATATTCATAATTTTATTTAAAATTAGTATAATATTCTTGTATTACTAAATGATAATATGCTTTTTTTTTTTTTAAACAATATGCTTTTTTTTTTAAATAAAAGGAAAAACACTTCTCCTTTCGTAAAAGAAGTGTGTTCTTATACCATAGATACATAAAAATTTTATTTAGAGTAAATATCTTTTTTGGTCTTCAGCAAATTTTACGATATTCGCTTTAGTCCCTAGCAAATAAAAGGACTATTCGTGGTCCCTAAGAAATTCAAAGTGGACCCATTTAGTTGAAATCGTGATCTCTCACAAATTCAAAAATGACTCATATTAGTCCCTCAAAAAGACTAAAATAAATACTTTTTTTAATTTTTTAATCGTGGTCCCTAATCCATTTTGAATTTTTTAGGGACCACGAATACCTTTTTTATTTGCTAGAGACTAAAGCGGATATCGTAAAATTTACTAAGGACCAAAAACGGTATTTACTCTTTTATTTATTTTTTTTTTTCTAAAAAAAACATGATGACCCCACCGTGATTTACTATATGCGGGAGAAGAATAAATAATGTTTTTGCATGAGAGCCGCAAACGCCAAACCCCTTAAATAAAATATCAATCAATTTGTGGCCAATCTTTATTTTTTGAAAAAACAATTGTATCACTATGAGTACTCAAAGTGGAATAAATCTCTGGTATTACTATTGTATCAAAGATTCAGTTTTCACCAATAAAAATAGAATTA